CACTGAGGTCACCCTTTCCACATCTGCACAGGAGGTCGTTCCAAAACCAGGGTCCCGCCGTTTCTTCCTTGACCTCCCCTCCAGTGACCTTGCCTTCTGTCTTCCTTCAGCTGCCCATCCCGGATGACACCCGATTATTCTGACACCCGGACACCCAGCATCCACTCTGATCACCGCCTCCCTCACTGCAGCGAATCCTTTAGAAGGAAGTCGTTCCCCTTGGCACCCTCAGCCGTGCTTCCCTGTTAGTGTTCGCTGCCACCCTATGTGCCCACTCACCTCCTTCTGGAATGTGGTCTGTTCTCCTCCTTTCATTGTCACCCAGCAAAACCCAGCTTTGGCCGAGTCCCGTGTTGCCCCTGGGCCGCTGGTGGGCTGGCGGGAGTGCGGGCCGGTCCCCTCCTGCCCTGTGTCTGACCACAGTGCTGGCTCAGCAGGGTCCAGCCGCCCTGCCGCGCCCCCCTGGCTTCCAGAAGCCACGCCCCCCAGGTTCGTTCCCACGCCCTGGCAGCCCCTTCTGTGTGTCTGTCTGCCGGCTGGAGGCCCCTGGCTGATGCCCCGCTCTTGTCCCCGCCCTTTGACACCATGCCCAGGTCTGCTCTTTCAGGGTCCTGCCTGGTAAATCATGGAGACACTGATGGTCCTCATTTTGTGTCGCTAGATCACCCCCAGGAGCCATAACAGTGTGTGACAAGTTTCATCTTGTTTGGTGCAGTCAGTCGGGTGTGAGCTGTGGTTGAGAGAAGGTGTGTTTTGAAGTGTGCGGTAAATCCTCCTCCATCGTGACAACACTCCGTGTCACACATCGCTTCTCGATATGTACACATACATATGTATGTATGCGTCTGTGTGTATGTATATGTATATATATTATGCACACGTGCAGATTACAAAGCTTTTAAAGTTTTGAGTGGTTATCCCTAACCTTATTTTTTTCTTAAGCCTTGTTATTTTAGTGATTCCAGCTGTTTTTAGTTGGGTGAATTAGTTTAACAAGGAACAATTTTACCTATAATGCACTAACAGGACTCATTTATATACTGAATGTACATACAATCGGTGAAAGAAATAAGTGAGTAGAACAATTTCTGTAATGCATATTTTGCACCAGGTTGGCTTTCTCAGGTGATTCCAGACAATTGAGTTTTTTGTTTATACTTGATGTTGCATCCTTGTTTGTATAAAGGAGTGGATTAATTAAATTATATTCAAATGAAATTGAAATCACCAAAGGAGCACATTCTTAGGAAACTAGAAGCCTTACCTGAAACTTTGGTTTCAAGTGACAAACAGTAGTGTTTTTCAGTTTGTTTTGTTTTGAATCAGCAGATGATGTGTGGGTGTAAAGATTCCTCCACGGTCTTACCTTGAGAGCAGGACCACGTCTTATCCATCTTTGCATCTCTCTTCCCAGTCTGTCAGAAGGTGGGAGGAGTGCAAGAGAAGGCTGACAAATGGATGAATATTTACTAGGTGTTTCTGCTAAAACCCAATCCTTGCATTATGGTGCTCCACGGAACCGCACCCTAAAAATAGCAGGGTTTGTGGGGCGGTGTCAGGGCAGGGACTGAGCACTCAGAGGCTGTGCAGCTTCCTAGGCAGAGCACTTCTAAGCGCAGTGCTTGATACGTGGACAGGTGAGCCACTGCTGAGGCAGCCACAAGGCACAGTAAACATACGAGTGTAAAAACCAGCTGTGAAGCACTGCAGCACTGCTGTCCACGCCTGTGTATGCTTCTGAGGCTCCCTGACAGTGGGGCTCCGGAAAGGTGGGGACAGGGGACTCTGCAACCTGCCAACCGCCTGGAAGCCACATGGGCTCAAGACACACCCTCTGCGTGCAGCCTCTGTATAAATCTTTTTATAATGCAGCTAAAAACGTCTCCTGTTGCCAGTGCACTGGCTGAGAAGAGAGCTTGTATTTCCTGCTGAAGATTATAATTCTATTTACTGGCTCTTACCTGGGAGAAATGGCAGGAACACGGGGTAAAAGAGACTGCATTGTATTGCCTTTTGTTTGGAGGGTCTGGGTTTATTGCTAAGTAAAGGCAGAAAATAGACTTGCAAAAAACAGGACCACATTTTCTGGAGTTGGCACCTCGAGGCTTTCCAGGACTGATGGGGGGTATGGAGGCAGCTTTCGGCAGGCGAGGGGACTTGCTTGAGCAGGTGACTTTGTGGGAGGGTTAGGATTCTCAGACTTGACATTGAGGGTCTGGACTTGAGCAGCCTGTGCTAAGCATCGCAGAATTCACTTCCTCAGGCTGCGTGTGGGCAGACTTCTGAAAGCAGTGAGGACGGAATAGCTACCAAGGAGATCAGTGGGTTTATCTAGCTGGACCTAGCTCATGTCTGCCCAGATCTAAGCCCTTGCTTCTCTCTAATGCCCTGCTTGGAAGCGACTAGAAAGACAGAATTGATTTTGTTCTTTCCTGCCTGGCCAGAGACACCTAAAAATAAGGGCGGTTCAGACACTGGGGTGGCGTTCCTGACCAGCAGCCGTCCCTGAGAAAAGAAAGAGTTTCAGAAATTCTGGGGTTATCCTGCCTTATGCTTTAAAAAAAAAAATTTTTTTTTTAGTTCATATGTTTCTTCTTAAAGAATAGTTTCATTGAGATATAATCCTTGTAGTATAGAAGCCACCACTTCAAGGTGTGCAGTTCAGTGGTTTTCAGTATCCTGACAGCTGTACGAGCACCATCACCATCTGATTCCAGAGCATTGCAGTACTCTTCCAAACGGCCTGTGTCCATAGCAGTCACTCCTTACCTCCTCACCCCGAGGCCCCGGAAAACACTAGCCTGCTTTCTCTCTCTGTGGATTTGCCTGTTCTGGACGTTTCACAGACATGGTTTCGCGCCCTTGGCGGCCTTTCGTCCCCAGCTCTTTCACTTAGCGTGATGTCCTCCCAGCCCACCCATGCTGTGGCATGCGTCAGTACGTCCTTCCGTTCATGGCCAGCTCCACTGCCATGTTTTGTTACACATTCACCAGTCGGTGGGCATTTGAGTCGTTGCCACTTTTCGGCTGTTTTGAATAATGCTGCTGCCCAGGTGTTCCCGTCCTTGTGTTGGTGCAGACGTTTGTTTCGTTTCTCTTGGGCATACACCTAGATGTGGTATTGCTGGGTCACAGGGTACCTCTATGGCTAACACTTCGTGGAACTGCCAAACCGGTTCCTAAAGCAGCTGCACCCCTCCTCACCCCCAGCCGCCACAGCAAGGGTTCAGAGTGCTCCATGCCCTCGCCGCCCCTTGTTATCATTTGGGCCATCCTGGTGGCTGTGAAGTGGTATGTCATTGTGGTTTTGGTTTGCGTTTCCCTAACTGAATATTCTTGTTGAGCACTTGATTACGTGCTTACTGGACATTATCTTTTCTGGAAAAGTGCCTAGTCCACTCTTTGGCCCGCTTTGAATTTGGGTTATCTGTCTTTTTATTGTTGAGTTGTATGTGTTCTTTATATAATGTAGATACAAGGTCCTTATGATTTGTTTGTACTTTTCCTATTCTGCGGGCTATCTTTTACTTTATTGATGGTGTTTTTGACATGAAAAATTGTAAATTTTATGGATTCCCAATACATCTGTTTTGTAGTTGTATGTGCTTTTGGTGAACTAGCTAAGAAACTGGTACCTAATCGAGGTTACAGGGATTTGCTGCTATGTTTTCTTCCGAGTTTCACATTTAGGTCTATGATCCATTTTGAGTTCATAGTTGTGAAATGTGTAAGGTCTGTGATGAGGTTCATTTTTTGAATGTTAGCACCATTAGTTGAAAGGACCATCATTTACCCTTTGAATTGTCATGACTCTCTTGTCAAAAACCAGTTAACCATCAATGTATGGGTATATTTCTGGACTGTTAATTCTAATCCATTCGTTTGTATGTCTGTCCTTATGCTAGTGTCACACTATCTTGATTAGTAGTTGTTTTTGTTTTGTTTTGTTTTGTTTTTGGTATTTTTTTGACATCAGGAAGTTCCACTCCTCCAGTTTTGCTTTTGGTTCCCTTGGCTGTTCAGAGGTTCTCTTGCAAGGCTCTTTGGCTATTCAAAGCCTCGTAGATTTCTATGTGCATTTTAGGGTCAGTTTGTCAATTTCTGCAAAAAAATGAAGTTGGGATTTTACTAGAGGTTGCACTAAATCTGCAGACAAATCTGGGAGTACTGCTGTCTGGACAATATTGTCTTCCAGTCCACGAGCACAGATCTTCCTATTTATTTAGGCCTTTAGTTTCTTGAAATGATGTTTTGGTAGTTTTCAGTGTACGTCTTACACATCATGTAAAACATTTACTTACACATACTTTATTCTTTTTGATGCTATTCTAAAGTGGATCTCTTCTAAGAGCATACGTACTTTTTATCCATTCTACCAATTTCTGCCTTTTGACTGGAGTGTTTAGACCATTCAGTGTAATTACTGATAAGGTAGAATTTGTCTGCCATTTTGCTGTTTGTTTCCTATGGACCTTATGTCTTTTGTGTTCTTTATTCCTCCATTTGCCTTCTTTTATATTAAATAGTTTCTAGTATAGCAGTTTAATTCTGTTGTTTATTTTATTGTACACTTTTGAGTTATCTTCTTAGTGGTTGCCCTGGGGGTTACAATGAACATAATCTTGCCTTATTTTTGAGCTTCTCTATGGACCTGAACCTGTCTTTGTAGGAGTTCCACTGGGCCAACCTGAATGGCTGGGGTCCGAATGGGAGGCCCAGGGACAACTGGGTATCTGAGAATTGTCTGTGTCGGTGGATTTATCTTTTAACTTTTTGGTGGAATTTGGTTATTTATACAGTAAGCTTCTGCTCTTCTCCAATGAACTATGATACTTTCCCAATGTTTGCTCTGATAAGATTCTAGTTATACCAGCAGCCTCCCTTGTGGCTGGGAGATTTGAGCGGTCCATGCTGGGCCGATCCTAAGTCAGCACGATGGACTTTGCCGCCCTTCCCCCTTCAGCCTGCTCTCTAAGCTCCCATGTCCTTCTGTTTCCCAGGTGCCGAGCACCCTGCTGAGAGGGGTATGCTCCGGCCCCCCAGGTGTGGCGGGACCCTGGTGCCAGAGACCTCCCGTTTCTCCGGATGAGGAGAAGAGCCAGCTGAGCCCTCACCAGCTCACCAGGATTTGGCCAGAAGACAGTTCCTCTCCTCCCCACACGACTTCTGAGAGGTAACTTTGAATTTGGAAAGTGAAGACTTGCAGACCTTAATGTATGTCTTTGAGTGGAATCTCAGGCATTGGTGGGAAAGGCTGCAGGCCGGCCTCGGTGGGTTTTTCTGTGCCACTAAGTCACACCATGGAAGCCGTCGCCTAGTATGCTTTCCCTGAAGGAATTTGAAGAATGCTCCTTAACATGTTATAGTGACTGTTATAGTGATCAGTTCTTCACAAAGATTCCCACACGGGTCCTCATTTACTGCGTTTCACGACCTTGTGAGGTCGAGTTGCCAGTCTCATTTCGTAGAGCAGCAGACAGGGTTAGAAGATGAACAGAATGCGTTCAGGGCCTCACTGAACCTTTCATTTGCTGAGAACATATGGGCTGAGCTCCTGGCCATGCCATGCGCTCTTCTAACTTAGGACACACGGTAACCACAGTGTCCCCTGCTCTCATGGGGACTCCAGGTCGTGGGGTGTGAGTTGGGGGTAGCGGTGGGGACAGGCACGGAGAGACAGACGGCATAAATTGACAGCATGAAGAAGTAAGTTATGTGTTTTGTTCCAAGCCGTCAGTTGTGGAAAAAGGAAAAAGCAGACCAAGTTTGGAAGGCTGGGGCAGGTTGTCATTTTAAATGGAATGGTCGTGGAGGTCTCATTAAAAAGGTGACACATTTGAGTGTGGAGTTAAGGCGTTGTGGGAAATGCTACTTAGTGTCTGGAGCAAGGGTATAGTACATGGAACCAAAGGTTGGTGCAAAAGCCCGGAGCCCAGTCTGTATGCACGCCAGCATGTTGGAGGGACCCCAGAGGCAGGGAGGCAGGAGGGGGGCCAGCTGAGAGCAGTGAATCCTGGGGAGGGGTCGGGGGTAGCAGGACCCTGACCACCAGGGGGAATTCTGGGATTTCTGATGGAAGTCAGTGCAGGGTGTTAGGCAGAGGGGACAAGCTTTGCATTCCATGTTCATACGCTCAGTCTGGCCTCTGTGTTGATAACAGAGAGTTGGGGTGGAGGAGGAGGGTTGACCAGAACATCGCAGAGGCCACCAGAGAAGCCCACTGTGGTAATTCAGATGATGATGGTGGCTTGCCCCCCTGGTAGCCATGGAAGTAGTGACAAGTGGTCCCATTCTGGATGTATTTTGAAGATTGAGCCCTTGTACTGTCCTGGCAGAATGGGCGTGGTGTGAGAGGGAGGGGAGGGCCTGTACTGATGGCAAGGAGTTTAGCTTGGGTAACTAGGTGGTGTTGGTGACAGCTTTGTCTAGTTCAGATGGGGAAGTCTGCAGGTGGAGGAGGTTTGGCGCAAAAAGAGATTAGAAGTTCAGTTTGAACATGTTGAGTTTGAGATTGTTAGACACCCACATGGAGATGCTGAGTGGGCAGTTATATCGAGATCTGAGAGCTGAAGGCGGTCGTCTGAGCTGGAGATAGTGTGGGAGTCTTCGGCCGATCGTTGGTATTTAAAGGAACAAGACCACCTGCGATCCCAGCGGGAGAAACGTTGGAAGGATTGGACCCTGAGACAGCCCAGCATCATGAGGTCCAGAGGAAGAGGCAGCAGCGGAAACCGAAAGGGAATGACCAGAAGTGTAGGGAAAACCAGGAGTGTGGCATCTTGGAAGCCCCGTGAAATCATTTCCAAAGGGCCGCGTGAGGCGCTGCCTTCGGTGTGCTGATGGGCCAGGAGAGATGACGACCGAGAGTTGCCTCTTGGATTGGTGCCCTACATGTCATTGGTGGTTTTGGTCAAAATGGTGAAATGCCATGTGACTCTGGTGGCCGTGGCAGCAAAAGCCCTAGTGGAGTGGAGGGAAGGCTGGAGCGGAGGAGGCAGACGGAGACAGAGGTTGTCGACAGCTGTGCAGGGCCTTACTGCAAAGGGGAGCACAACATGGGGCTGGGTCCGCTGGGGTCAGTAAGGCCAAGAGGATTCGTGGGGAGAATTCGTGTTGAGAATCGGTATGTTTATATGCTGACGGGAACGGAAAATTGATAATGTAGGACCGAGAGTTGCTGAGGTCGTTTCTTGAGTAGGAGAGGGGTGCATTTGTGTACAAGTGGGGTAATTTGCAACAGGGGGACGCCTGCTGGGGATGGGCCGGGACTGATATGTGGGTGCCGGCGTGGAGGCACTCTGAGGAGAAGGCTGCAGTTTTCTTCTGTTTTTTGAGGGGAAACAGAAAACAGAGTCGCCAGCTGATGCCATGGCAGAGGAGGGATTGGCAGTTTGGGGAGACAAGGGAAGGAGTGAGGGGTCCTCTGGAAAGTGGGACTTGCAGAGTGGTCACCTGGAGGCATTAGGCGCCCCTGGCAGCTCGTGGCCACAGCCTGAAGGCCCGGATCAGTGTGAGTGTGTGTTTCTCTAGACACCTCAGATGGGGAGTTGAAGGCACGTAGTAGGCCAAGCACCGAATTATCCTTTGGCTGAGCAGAGAGGGACAAAGTGAGAGGGTGGCATTAAATGACAGCGTACGCAGGACAGAGATGGCACCGGTCACATGGAGATTAAGATGGTGACATGAGGAGAGAGGACATCAGGGGTGAGGAGGCGATCGGACGGCTGGTGGATCGGAGGTGCAGAGGGGTTGGCGCTGTCCGCTCCGGGTCGCTGCAGGAAGAGGCTGGAGAGACGGAGGTGCTGGCAGAGGCTGAGCGTGGACCTGGCACTGCGGTCCTGCCCTTGGCTCAGCTCCTCGTCACCCTGAGTGCTTCTCACCTCTGCCCTTTGAAAGGACCAGCTTGAGAAATCTTCCTGAACCCCTGACCCGTGCTCACGGTACCAGTGCGCCCCTTTGGTGATGCTGGGAACATATTGCCGATCTGTGACTGACACATCCCTTCGCTGAGGCAGATGGCAGTCTGCAGCCTTCTCACCACTGTGCCCAGGGAGGAGGGCTGGGAACGTTGGTATCAGACATTGGAGGCTGTTGCTCCCTTCTTCATGTGCCTCGGAAACTAAGTGTACTGCTACCTTTTTTTTTTTTTTTAATGTTAACTTGAACATTTTAAGGTTACTCCCTCTTTGTCTGCAGTGCACTTACTTAGGCAGAAAGCACAGCCCCCTCAGGTGGGAGGGAACACTAAACCCTGGCACATGTGCCGTCCGGCCCAGTGGGCTGGGCATTCCTGCTGCGTCTGCCCACGCCGAGTCCCCGGACGGTCCCTCTGGGATTCTGTCTCCAGCAAATTCCAAGAACTGAAATGGCTCATGGTTACAAAAGATTCATGTGGAAGAGGCCAAAATACCAGAAAATGACATTCCAGCACAAGCACAGATATTTTTAAATGCTTAGGAGTTATAAAGAGAATCAGTCTTCGTGGAATTGAAACCACCCCCAAGTCACACTCCTGGGACTGAAGGAGCTGAATCTGAAAGATGGTTTTGTTTTGTTTTGTTTTCTTCAAGTGGAGAATGTCATCAGTTAAAAAAAAACAAAACTCTTGGGTGGAGAAACTTTCGTGGGGCCTTGGCCTTGGTCGGGTGCTGGGGCCGGCCGGCGTCTGGAGAGCTGTAGCCGTGGTGGCTGCCCAGGGCCACTGCGCCCCTGGCTGGTGAAGCTTTAGAGCAAAGGTCGTTCAAAACACTAACTAGAATCGAAAATATCAGCATCCTGCTTTCGTTCTCGTGGTTTCAGAGTGGCTGAGGTGGCTGAACAGTATTTTTAGAAATGGAAACACTTAACGATGCTGTTCTGAGGTGCCCTGTGTGGCCGAAGGTCCTGTTAGAATAACTCCGAGCGGCCACAGCTTCCACATTTATCTCAAGAAAGCTGCGGTGTCTTAGTTTTCAGTTTTCGGTTCCTTTTCTGTTTGTTTTGAGACCTTGGGTCATTTTTATGTGTGTGCGGTCCTCTAGGCTTCACGGTCAAGTCTTTGGCCAGGTTCTTGGTGTTGTCACGTGCCAATTTCGAGTGGCGTAACAGCTACAGACAAAGAAAAGAGCGTGCTGTTAGTTCTCCAGGACAGGGTGGCTTCCTCCAGACGGATTGAGCAGTAGAAATTTAATGAGCGTCTGTTCTAACGCAAGGACTGGGAGGGGGAGAAGAGGAAACGGGGCAGGTTTCTGCTTTTCTATTTTTCTTTGTCTAATGTTAACAAGCGGAGGGTGTGAAGCTGCAGTTACCAATAAACTTGGGCACAGCACAGAGCAAAACCGAGGGGCTGAGAGTTGGGTACTGAGTACGAGGGGGCCCCTCCCAGCTAAGCCGTTTTTGAGCTGCAGTGGACAGAAAAGAGATGTGAAGATGGTACTGGAAGCCACTCGTGCTGGACCCTTAGTGTTTGGATTTAAGCCTCTCTGGTGGCTGGTGGAGAACCATTAACGTGTGAAAGGGAGTGACAGGGTTAAAACAAAATAAACATGTTTTGGACCCATTTATTGGGCACTGTTGTGCTTCCAATATGAAGAGAAGACTAAAAGCAGGGAAAAGAGTCGAGGCAAAGTTTCATCATGCGGCTTAACAAATTTAAGGAATTTTCCCCTCTGATTATAAAAATATAGTACTTTTTTGGTTGTACCCAAAGCCAAACAACAAAGCTTCATAGACACGTTTACCAAAGGAATCTCATGCCTCCTATCATTCTTAGAGTTCCATGAATAACTTCTGATTTTAGCTACATTTTACACCGCTAGCTTCAATACCAATGAGGAAACCATTAGTATCTGGTCTTTATAGCTTGTTATAAAACAGATAACATACTCCAGTTACCGCAATCTCATTTTAATCCTGACTTTACTGATTTTAACAATTGATTTTATGTGTGTCCCATGATTTCTTTCTCAATGTTATAAAGAGTACCCCTGTCTGTCTGTCTGTCTGTATACCTACCTACCTATCTACACACTTATTTCAATTTAAAAATAAGGTGAAACCTTTTCTGATAGAAAGGAGGTCTCATTGGCAGGTTGATTTGACAGTGAAACTGTCTTTATCTCAATTATTGGACTGAGCTAAATATGCAAATCATATGGATAGACATAATTGAGGCATTCGAATAAAATCATGTGT